CGAGGTCGCTGAACCATGATTTTGTGTACAAATGCCTAACGACAACAGTAAATGAGCCAACCAGGCCCGAAAAGAATGACCCAGTTAGTAGGACAAAGGTTCTCGGAAGACTATCGACTAAACTTCGTAACATCAGCCCGTTTCGCAACAGGTCACCACAGTAACAACAGTCAATCCTTGGCACACAGGACTTCACTCTATACATGATCAAATTTGGTCACTCTGGATATTCGGAGGCAGATAGCTTGTTTCTTTATTGATACCTCCATGTTTGTAAATTAAACCTCCTATCACTCGGAACTAGGGATGCATTTAAGTTTCGTCGAGTACTGGACTTGGATCGTGCCCTGAGAACGATGTGGAAGGGCGCAGTGGATCTCAGCCCAAGCACGGCCGGCCTGTCTCATCCTGCGCACGACTTTCCACCGAATCATCTTGTCCTTGAAAGCGAAGCCTCGGACGATCCTCTGCCTTCAGAATGCGAAACGGATCTGTCAATATGTTGCTGCCTTGGATCATGGATCAACTCAAACTACAGTTGAAATGTTGTTCCGCCACCCTCAGTGATGCTCTTCAATAAAACGCCCTGCAGAGGCCATTCTTCGGTTTTAGCGAGAAGTGCGTGGGGCTCGGGGGGAACTGGCGTTGCCTGCGATGGTGTTGGACGCTCAGTGTAAGCTCTTTACCGATCCATCTCTATTAGATGCTAGGAATCGGCGGCGGGGTGCCAGATAAGGTCGACGTTCGCTTGGGCGACATCGTCGTCGGGATGAGGATGATAGAGTACGATCTAGGGAGGATCATTAGAACCTGACAGATCCAGCGCACTGCAAATCCAAGGACCCTGAATTACTTGCTTGGCGCAGCTGTGTCATCTCTTCGAGCAAAGCATGAAGAAGACGGCAACTAAACCTCACTCAATATAAGCGAGACGTTCAGCAAACGCCCCGAGTACTGCCGACCTACCAAAGCGGACCGCCTCTTCTCCCCGATTTACGATCACATCTCCCCAGAGCGTACCTGCAATGAATGCGACCCTTCGAAGCTAGTACAGCGAGGGAAACGGAATACGAGCAACCCAACAATTCATTACGGTACAATCGCCTCAAGCAACCAAGTCATGAGGAACAGTACTCAGAGAGACATTGCCACTCGACAGCTAGATGCCATCTGTTTCGAGACGGAGGCTGCCGGCCTGATCGACATTTCCCTTGCCTGCCGATCTGGGGGATTTGTGACTACTACGATTTCACACTTTAGCACTACCGGCAGGCTCTGACCACGGACAAGGAGTCAAGTACCATTCATGATGGGTCAAATAAACGTTCCTACGCGAGCATTGGCTAATGTTCAGGCTGAAGAACAAAACAGGGCCTTTATTTCTATCTCAACATTTAATCATCTACCCATCGTACCGAAAAGAAAAAAAAAGTTGACTCGAGCTACTGTAGATGACCGATCAGCCTCTGAGTTTGGTCGAGTACCGGACTTGAATCGTGCCCACAGAACGGTGTGGAAGGGCGCGCTGGATGTCGACCCAAGATTTGCCTTCTTGTTTCATCCTGAGTACAGTATTGTCCTCGTCTGGCGTCCATCTTCCGCCAGATGATTTTGCAGGCGAGTGCAGAGTCTCGGGCAGCCTTCTGCGGTTCCTGATATGCGATATGGATTTACCAGCATTCCGCTGACATGAATCGTGGTCCCATTCAAACTGTAATTGGAATGTCGTCTTACCGCCCTCAGTGATGCGCTTGAGCAAGACATCTTTGAGAGACCATTCCTCGAACTGAGCAAGAAACATGCTAGCTTCGGACGGGGCTGGCGTTGCTTCTGGTGTTCGGATATCGCTAGGTATCTGCGCGGTACGTGTTGTCGATTGTCTTTTGCGAGAGCCCCGAAAGTTGGCGGCGGTACTGCGGACCGAACAGGAAGTGGATTTAGAAATCTTGCGACGCTTGCAACCCTCGTGGACATCATCTAAATCATCGTCTTCCGAGCCAGAATCCTCAACATCTGGGAAATAAGAAGAGTTCTCCTCATTATGTTGAGATTCTAACCTGTGAAGACCGTCCTCGTTCCCTGAGTCTTCACTGTCTGCGTCACCGTCCTCAAACTGCATGGTTTTATGCATCTGCGAGGATTTGTGGCGGAAACGACGAAGTGACGGCGACGTGGAAGACACTTCGGCATCGGAACTGAACACAACCTTCGTGGCCTCGGACTCGACATGGGTGGACGCGCTGCTTGTATTGTCCGAGGCTTGCCCTTGACACGGTTCATCAGAGGATGTCGCGGGAGATGGGGCGCGGGCTTTGGGAATGGCACCATCGTATGACTTGCAGACGGGTATTTCGTTTTCCTGGAATGATGCCTGGACCACTTTGATGGGACTCGCAGTCCTGGGAGAGTGTGCGCCAGTTGAAGGGGAATCCTGATGACGCTGGGAGCTATGACAAACGTCATAGTCAGAGACAGCATCGAGCACCATGTTGCTCTCTTGACTGGCTGGTTCAGGTCGGAGCTGTTTCCCGTCTACCGCAACTGGGTATGGTTGGCTTTCAGGGCTGGTAGGAGGGGTTGCAAAATTGATATCTTGACACTCAGTGGACGTGTTCCCGACCAGTAAGTGATTCATTCCACAAGACTGTTGGCTCAGTCCAGCATCAGCGAGGTGAGACTCACTTGGCTCATTCGGCCAACCTAGGGCGGCATCCACTTGAGTCGGGGATACTGCTGACGCAATGTTCGCGCTAATGGTAGCTTCTGACTCAGTTGCGCCATATTCGGTGACAGTTAGATCTACACGTCGGTTGTCAGAACCTTCCACCCAAGAGGGGCCCCATAGCCTCGATGACTTACCTAAATAATCCACAGTGCTGGTAAGTGCTGTAAAAGGTGGCGAACCATCGAGTTCTTGACTCGCATCGTCTTCATCTTCAGTATCAGACTCGACATCAGAGGGAATATAAATCGCTGTGTCCCTAGATTTTCCAAGAGCCGTATCTGGCTGAGAGGCAGGAGGAGTGAAGCTCTGCAACGGCTTCCGCTGCTCAGAGTCAATAATCAACGAGGTCATACTTGAGTTGCAGTGTGTAGGGAGGGAAAGAGTTAAGGGGCTTGGTGTTCGCAGTATGGCCAAATTGAACATAAAGATAGACGGGCATTGTCCGGCTTATATGCTCGCAGCTGAACCATGCGGTCAAACAAGTCCCAGCCCCTTCCAGGAGCCGAGCCCGGTGTCGTCCTGGTGTCTCTCCTCATTCTACGAGATCACGGTGGTTCGGATGGAGGAGGAAGACACGTAACCGCTTCTCCCTCGTGCCAATCACTTCACTGCCGGGCCACACTTCTCGCATATCACCATGGATCCACGCCACTCGCTGACAAGGCAGAGTTCTCGGGAGATACCAGATGAGGCAGGTCATGATGGGTGTTGGACTGTTCACACACGACGCGTCACTTCCAGTTGGTCAGACAGCACCGGGTAGGAAGTTCCCCGGAGCACTAGCTCTTCCGTCTGACCGTGATGAAGCTCGACGCTGCGCCTGCACATGTTGATCGTCACAGCCAGGAACCTTTTGAGCCATTCAGAGCGCTCGAGATGCTGTCATGAACGTCTCATGATCCCGCAGCAGCGAGACTAACGAGGTCGCATGCGTGCAACACCAACAGCTCGCCGTAGTGCGCGCGTCCCTCTCTTCCTTCTCACCCAATCGTCGCTTTCGACATGCTGACTCGCCCCATTTCTGAAGCGTCTGAGCCATCGCGGTCCGTACGGAAACGGGTGAGCCGAGGACCAACAGGAAGTAATCAAGGAACTTCCGCCCAAGCGGCGGGTAGTCTTGGCAACCCCTGAACAGGGAATTGGTATCTCGGGCCCCGTCAAGCCACCCGTGATCAGACGCTTCACACTCTCTACCCGCTGAGGGAACCAATCGGGGAGCAAGTTTGTGCCAGAGGTCTCCGGAGCCACTCGTATCAGGTTCAGGAGGCGAGTCCGAGATGGCACCATCCTCCATCATGCAGCAGGGGGCATTGATAAGCCGGCTGCGGCATTTCTGCCATTGGATGGGCGTCAACTGGAGGCCTCACAAGGGAAAACATTGCCGTGAGATGCTCTGCTACAGCCTAAGAAGCATCACACCACTGTGAGGCGGCCCAACCTGGGGAACTGTCTCTAGACTGTTGGCGTTGTTAGATTCTGAGAGAAGAGAACGGGAAAGGAGGCCATACGAGACAAACAGTAGAGTTAGTAAACGCGGATATCAGAGGGCAGAATGGAAAACGAATGCTAGAGCATGTCTCATTCCCTCCACAATCAGGCTTTGGGATGCAAGCGTCGCGAGAGAACTGCGTTCCAAATGAAAACGCTGACGTGGCAGGATGGGCCAAGGGAGGTGGGCTGAAGGCAGCGATGTTTGCAGAAAATGGAGACCAGCGGATTCAAATGGGCAGTGCATGGGAAGAAGCAGAGGTCAAAGATACATGTTGGTAGGGTCGGAGGAGGTTCTTGTCTTATATACAGGGGGTCACGTGATGCGCAGTGGTGCGGATGTACGGCACGCGCGTCTTGCCTGTTTGAGCAGTGCCGCTAAACCGGAGGCAGCAGCAGCGTATCCGCGATTACTTAATAAAATTAAAAACTTTTAAGTTATAAGTCTTTATAATATAAAATATATATTTACTTTATTATCTTTTTTAATAAATATAATAGTAGCATTTATATAAAATAGTATAATAGTAGCTATAATGCTTTAATAGTGCCTTATTTATAGAGCTAGTAAGGATAAGCCTTTAGGCAAAATGTATCTATTAGTATTACGTGTCTTTAGGCGGAATACCGATACCTGCAAGGATAATGAGTAGGAGGGTCGTGGTTTCACATATGTCGCGGAACAAGAATCGTCTAAATGAGTGTTTTCATATGGCTCAGTCCCACTTGAACTTCAGTTGAGAATAAGCACTTCAGTAGCCAAGACCAGAAAAAGCGATTTCCTCAGTTAGTAATGAGTGTCGTCTCCCAAATTATAGGGAAGTACGCCCAAACGTCGCAATTTCCACTCATAATCCCAGACCTCACCAATATCTCTCAGCCACGGATCGAAATCTTTCTCGTCCCATGCCTTTCTTCCGCAATCCTTGGATGTTCCTGTGGCGAAACGATACCTCTCACAGAGCCAAGCACGGCCGCTTACGGACTTTCTCATGGCAACTCGTGCAGTCCATGCGGGGTAGCCTTTGTAGCGTCGACCAGACGATGTATCGATGTTGCAGCACATGAACATGAAGAGGGCAGCCGTGAGTTCGTCTTCATATCCAGGTGCTATCTTAAGGGTTTTGACCTCACCAGTAGTGCTTCCTCTTGTTTTCGACTGCTTTTGTAATGCTTCCACGGGTATAATGGTATTCATCACATCAGACAGCATGCGCAAGCGACTGGTACTCTGGAATGGTGCCCAGAGAAGTTCTCCAGGTTTCTTGTTCCCTTCCCGGTCCACCTTTTCTCTTTCGTCGTTGAGATAGAGTGTCGGAAGGCCTATAAGACCGGCTGCCTCAATGAAACCCGAACGGTGGCCAATAACACATGCTCTAGGGTTGTATCTTTTGCAGAGCGCCGTCCAAATACTAAGGATCTTGACCTGAGCGGGTACATAATCAAAGCCTATACTGCGAAATTTTGACCACAGTTCTTCGACCTCGTTGTTGATCCTTTCTCGGTCCTCTGCCCCGACACTTCTCACTGGCGGTGATTCTGCTGTTCTATCCTTGCCCTCCCATGGTCGAGATATGAACAACACTGCAACATTGGGATCATTCAACTCTTTTTCAACCCAGGCCTTGCGTTTAAGCCCTCCAAAGTAGTCAAAGTCCCCATACAGAATAATATGTGAGAATCTTTCAGCGGGTATGAAATATTTTCCCTTCGAAGATGAGCTCAAGTTGTTCCACTCGGAAACACGCTTGTTTGCCTTGGCAATTGATGAACCAACGTGCTTCAAGGTTGTCTCATCCATTACCCTCCCGACTCCCGATTTCGCATCGAGACGAACATGGATTATGGCCATTCTTTCAACATCTCTCACTTTGGGTAGTTTGTCCACACTGTCATTTTGTTCCATTCCAGGCAGCTTGTGACGCTGTTTTGTGAGTCGCAGATAGTGGTTCAGCCAGTATTTGGCCGCCCATGTTGGGTAAAAGTAGCGCTCCATAAGGTTTCCATGCTTAGGCCCCTCGTTGATGTCCAGTGTCTGAGCGTCCATGAAATGTCGCATCTTTGAGAACAGAACAGGTCCTGTAGCCGCAGGCGGTTCTTCAAAAATCTCCGTGATCATCCGCGTGGTTTTCTTCAAGCCCGTCGATCTTTGGTCTCCCTCGGGCATGCAAACCTGTTTGACAGGGATACCATACCATGAGAACAGATCACGCATCTTGTTGCCAAAGTCATCATCTGGGAGGCAGAATCTCATCGGCGTTTCCATTCCTCCAATGTGACAGTAGAGACAGCACATCAGAGCATGATAAACTTCCCCAAACTCTCCCGACCTCAACCAGAGCTCGGGCCCTGTTCTTTGCCTCTGTTCGGAAAAGTCTTCATACGCATCTCGCTCGCTTTGGAGAGGTGAGTAAGCTGGGAATCTGGACTCACTGCCATCAAGCGGAATCTTGCGCCTCTGGCAACGATATATCCAAAAAGTATAGACAGCATTGCATACCAGGCAATTGCTTGGGTTCTCGATTCTGTATCCAACGTTTTGCGACAGCAGCACGAAGTCATTTTGATTGACTCTGAAATTAAGCTTCTTATAAAGTTGGGTTTCATCAGATTTTGGTTGATGTAGGCACTCGTTAATCAATGTTTCAGAACCAGACAATGAGTCATCGGTCGGGACTGGGTCTGGAAGCAATGACATACTGAGAAACAAAGGCTCGATTGGCAGTCTAGCACCTAGTAAAATATACAGATGTCAGGTTATGCTTCTCTATTTCTCCCCAAAGTGGGAGGTCGCAGAACAAGTAGCTATTGAGGGGTGCCCGGAGCCATATCGGTAGAAAATGTCAGGAAGCAGCATGACATCAACGGTCAGGTCCTAAAACAATAGCTGAACAACCACCTCATTTAAGTAAGCCAATTGAAGTCGGCCACGTAAGCTGCGCCCTTTGGGCATTGTAAATCGAGGCGTGCTTACACTCCATGCTTAGAAATACGAAAACAAACTACCACTCACAGGCAGGTAGGTCAGCTGTGGCGTTAGCGGAAACTGTTGTGTAATTTCTGAGAGCCCTTCATTATCATATTACGTACCCGATATGTTTTCACAAACGACTAACTCATCTGCCCTATTACCGAATCAGTCCATCTATAAGTATTTCTTTAATCTTAAGTCGAGATATTACAGTATTAACCGATGGAAAACTTCACTAACCGAGCCTAGACGAATTATATTTATCGATTAAATTCCTTAAGTATAATAATATATAAATCCAATCGTGAGTATGGATGTGCGTACTGTCCGTGGTCCTTGGACTGGAACCTCTACTGTATGTATTGCACTGTATATATTGGATGCATTTTAAACTTTATGGAGAACCACTGTGATGAGGCATGTAAGATCTGCAAACTGAACTATYGTTCAGGCTCTATAATAAAGTGCGCGGGCATTTACCTCTCCTGCTAATAAGTATAATAGGAGCTTAGTATTAATGTCTATATACCTATTATCTATATATAGTATTGGATTTTAATAGTAAGATTAAAGTATAAGCCACTTTTAGTAGTAAAAGTAATAAATTATTATAACCCTAGCGGTTATATTATATATATCTTATAAATACTTTACTTTAAATTTATTTTAATAGTTAATTAAATAAAGAACTAATAAGACTAAAATTAATAGCATTTTAAGACTATATTACCTTAAGATTAATAATAACCTTATTTTTTTTTTTAAGTTTATATATTAGCCTTAAAAGATATTTAAATATCTCTAAAGTTTATTATAATTTAAATTTTTCTTACCTTTTAGGTAGTAAAGCTTTATTAAGTTAATATTATTAAATTAGCTACTTTAATTATAGCCTAAATTTAAATATATTTAATTTAACTAAAAAGCCTTACTTTTTAACTAGCTAAAATCTTCCTTTTATAACCTTACTTTAAAGGCATACTTTAATTATTTAATATACTTTAATAATAAGTTATTTAACCTAACTTCCCTTTTAATTATAATTACTAATAATACTATAGTTACCTTATTATAATACTTAAAAAAAGCCTATAATTTAATTTTAATAAGGCTTATTTAATTAAAAATCTTAATATAATCCTTTTAATTAATTTATTTATTAATAAAAATAATTATAATAACCTTTATAATATAACTATAAAAATTATATTAGCCTAAAAGTATATAAATAATATTAACTATATTAAATTAATAGCCTTTAGTTATAAAATCCTTAAGGTCTTATAGCCTTATTATTAATTAATTAATAAAGGATTCTTTAAACTTAAAATAAAAGAACTTAATAAACTTAAAGATAAATTACTTAAAGAGGTAGCTTTAAGCTATAATTAATTAGTATTTATTAAGGCTATTTATTTAAGTAATTTATATAATAAGTAACTTAAAGGTATTAAGTAATAGGCTAAAAGGGTATTAAGGAAAATTAAGTTGCTATAAGGATAAAAAAGGGATAATTATAAGGTTTAAGAGGAAAATATATTAAGTTTTATATAGATTTAAGTAGGTTACTAAAAGTTAATAATTATTAATAAAGAAAGGTAAAAATAGATTATACTATATAGTATATAACTAGTTTATAATTATAAAGATTAATTAAATATTAATATATTATTAATATAAATAAAGAAATAATAACTTTATATTATATTACTTTTTTATAATTACTATAATATATATATTTATTTAATATTAAATAAAACTTAATTTACTAATTATTAATAAAGTATTTTTATTTTAATAAGCCTTATTTATACTATTAACTATTAAGAGATATAATACTTTATTAATATATTTAATTTAATGCCTTATATATTCTATAAATATAAACTTAATATAAATTAATTTATTTATTTAAAAACCTAATTATTATATATTAATAGCTTTTATTTAAAATATATTATATTAAATAATTAAATAATATTATATTATTAAGATATTTAATAATATTAATATTTTAATACCTCTTTATATTAAAGTATTACTTAATAATATTAAAATAGTAATTAAGGTTTAATAGCTTTAAAATACTATTTAAACCCTATAGGCTTAAATAAATATATAATTTACTATAATTAATAATAAAAGAGAAAACCTTAATAGGTTTTAATATAATATTAAGGAAGCCTTAAAACCCTTTAAGTTAAAACCCTTTATTAAAAAAGCAGTTAATATAATTCTATTTTTTATTTAAATAAAAGTATATTTTTACTTATTTTTAAATTAATTAAATACTACTATTAAGAAAGTATTATATATCTTACTTTTAATTTAAAGAGATACTAAAAAGTAATAAAAACCTATTATATAAGATAATAGTAAATTTAATATATATCAAGCTTAATTAATATACGCTCGATTTCTGGAGACTCGACCTATTCGGGGTTACAATTTGTAGTCTTATTTAATGTGCTAGATTTATAAAACTGTCGTATCTCAGATTCGCTCGCACAGTTGTTATAATCTGTCCCCTCTAGCACTGTACCTCCTCACAGCTAAGCCCAAAGCTGTGCATTGACCGACTCGACCTCCCAACTGCCCCCATCCTTCTGAGTGTAATAGTGAACATCAGTCTTTGGAATGCCATTTTCATCCTTGCCAGAGACAAAGACCTTGAGGTTCTCATACGAAGTGCCAGTAACAGCGATAGAGGCACCATTCACAACATGGCGAATGGTCTTCCTAGATCCCAAATAGCCCTGGTACCAACTCTTATCGGGCTTATCACTACTCAGGCAGATCTCCTGGAGGAAGGCCCTTCCATGTTCATCGGCAAGAACGCAGTAGACACGGATCTACAAAGTCAGTCTCAAATGGCTGAACAAGCAAGGGAGCTAACCTCATCCACGCCACTGGCGGACTTCCAGGATATGGCGGCGACTTCTCGGCTGTCACACTTGACATGCATTTTCTGGTAGGTGATTTCGATGGTCTTTACAGCATAGCCACCGTTGCACCCTCCTCCAGGCTTGATTAAGTAGCTGAGCTGGTGGTTGTCATTGACGTAGAAAACGTAAGTCTTTCCATCACTTTCAACGGCAGCAATATCCTTGGGAATCTGCTATCATCGCATTACTAAGGGACTGTTCTATATCAGTAAGACTCTGCAATCTTACCGTTGAGTCCATTTTCAACCGGTGATAGGGGCCTAAAAACTTCGTCGTTAAAGTAACTTGATTATGAGAATGTGCGTTTGCGATCTTAGCTTAAATACAGTATAGAGTGAATAGCAGTCCTCTCTAATGAGATACATCTCAACATTTATAGTTCTAGAGAATACTCTGATTGTGAACAGCTCTTCTTTTGATTTGAACTGATTATGTGAAACGCCTCGCTTCATCAGCATTTGTGCTCTTCTATTAGCCAAAGTAGCCAACCCATGGAGATACTAACACCAGCTGAATTGAGACTCAAATCATTCAAGTTCCACAAGTCAAACCACCATATCCCATGCATGTTTCTCTGCATCAAGATCTCTTGGTAGTTCAGGCTACACTGTGATTGAGACGCATGCGGCGAGTAATCTCTTCAGCCAGCTATCTGCGATACTCCACCCAAATAGCTGCATGGGAAGCTTCAACTTGCCGAAAAGATCAGCTTGCAACCCCCTTTCTCATCCGTATCGTGTTCACTCTTGGCACCGGTATCGCATAAAGCCAAGCAGTTAGATCGAAGTAACCTGTAAACTTAGTGGGACTGAGATTTTTGGAAGGGCGTGTTCGCAGCTTTGCACTGTGTACTGATAACATCGTGCTCACACCCCATACTCTATGCAAGAACCTACGATACGATGCATCCCCCCTGCACAGTTAGGCTCATTCCAGGCGAGGTTTTTCAGCTCTGTCTTGGAAAGAAATATCGCCGATCTTCTCTAATTTCGGATTAAATTGACTCGAAGAATGTTGGTGCAAGCAGGTATAAATTCGTGGTGCATATTGAGGCTTTAAGTTTGAAGTCTAGACCAGGCCCACCACTCAGCCAGCCGTGTGCCATTTCCGCCAGCCACCTCCGGGGAAGCCAAGCTTCTTCAGGAAGCAATTAGCTTAGATATGATAGTGCCTAAGACAAAATATGTCATTTTACGATGGAAAGAGTAAATTGCCCTCCTTGGCAATCAGCTGTGACTTGATAGTCTTCCTCTTGACAACATGCAAGCCACCAACTCGATATCACATTTTCAACGTTCCCTACATAATGTGGAATGGATCAGTACTCCATGAGAAACAGTCCCACGTCCGTTCAAACGAAACTTTATTGTTTCAGTCTCATTTCACTCGCTTGGGTGTGTGCATGTGAAGGTCTTCACTTGAACGTATTGGAAAGCCTCCTGTTATGCCCCCTCGTTGGAAGCCACGACTTTTCAGCCAAGCCGAAGCACCTGGCTAATATGCATTGGGACAAAGGGAATGAATGGCACGTATTCAGAGATTGCTGAAGGGGATTCCTATCAGCCCCTGGAGAATCGCTTTGCAACCTGGCATTATCTCTAGGACCCCTCACTTTCTCGACTTTCCTCACCGATAAATTGTTCTGGTTCTCGCTCTGGAGAATAAGCATTACTTGACCCAGTCAGAACGGTTCTATTCGCCAACCATCCCTAGTGGTTCTTGCTGCCCAATATGCTCCCTGCATCTTTTTGGCTTGCCACCATAGTCATGGCTGGATGGCCATGGACGCTGGCTGCCGCAGAAACTAGTAACACACCCTCAACTTCTCAACTCTCTGATGATTTATCGTACACGCATTCAGCTAACATTTCTCGCAGTCGACGGACAATCTCAGCAGGATCTAGAGCAGGCTACCTCTCGAGGCGTGGAAGAAGATACAAAGACCATGATCGAATGCGGCAAACATATCAGTTCATGCGGAGTAGTAGATGATATGAAGATTGTTCTTCGCCCTAAAACAACCGTATACGTCACCCAGAACGTTACCACGACGGTCTCAACAGTATGGTGTCCATGCCAGTAGCTATTTGGCAACCTACTCCCGATAGTCCCAGCAGCTAACAGAACATCAGTTCTTGCCACCCGAGACGAATGTCATCACCGAAGTAGTAGCAACAACCGTGAAGAAGGATGTTCTGGGTATGTAATCTCAAAGGACAGCATCATTGCCATGTCAGACTCAGAAATTAACTAATATCTCTGTCAAGGGCACTGCCGAAACACCACCACCATCGACATAGAGAAACCTGCCACAGTCACCGTCAACGTCGAAGTCGAGTACATTAAGGAAGTAGTGTCAATCGTCAACGTCACTTCCACCACAACAAGCACTGTAATGGTCAATTCGATCGAACAGTGCTTCATTAACAGTCTGCGTGGTGTATCCAGACTCCCCGATGAAGAGCTTTACACGACGACGGCTGTTGAAGCCAGACAGCAGCATAGCAGTTCCTCGATCGCGGTTGAAGATGAACGTGAGGAAGAACGGCCAACTGAGACAGGACAAGTTAGACACGAACATCACTATGAGCAGGTTGCAGAAGATGTCTCTCACGATAATGCTAGGTTCATGTTTCAGGAAAGGGATGCGCTGTGAAGGTCCGGAGATGTGTACCCGAGTCACACCCACCGTATAGAGATTTTCTGGGGAGAACTTGAGTGAATTGAGCTTGCTTTTGAGCTTCTATATTCTTCTAGGACGCATGACTTATAATTATTGCCTTGATCTGTAATGACTTCAACTTTGGAATAAATATAGCTGATACTTTTGATCTCATGTTTTAAATAAACTCAGTACCTCAGAAACGGATTGCTTTTGGTTGTTGTCTAGTCTCCGCAGGGTTACAGCATGAGTCTTTTCGAGGTTTGTTTCTCTTAGGTCCCTAACTCACGCAAGTAGCTGATAACAGTTCTATTCGTAACCTCAGCATTCCTAGATTCAATATAACTTCATACCGTTGATACTGATATCTGCAGGGCAGCGAGACGTAGATAAATGCCAGGGAATCTTGATTTGTGGCGTAGCTAAAGGCCGAGTATAGAACACTATTAACTTAGCGCAATATCGTTGACGGCTTCACTCTTCATGCGGGAAGCCGACCAGCTGAACAGGGGTTGAAGCACGAGATTGCGTTATATTTCTCCCTCATGTTCGGTTAGACAAGTATTTCTGTGAGGTGTGTTCGAATATAGTACGGGAGTCTTTAGTTGGGCTTCTGACCACTAGAATGAGGTTCTGATCGATGACAAATGTCTCATACGGATATGGTTGGCGGTCGAGGAGGAATGTCTTGTGCAGGATTACTGACGCGAGACAGTCAACCCTTCAATTGTAGTTGTACAAACAGGGCTTGGTATCAAACAGAGTCACATAAAGCTTCATATATTTCTCAACGCTACTTTCTGCAACACTCGCAAGGATTTCCTCTCCCGACCTTAAAGTTTCGGAAGGTTTACAGAGCGTCTTCGTTCCCCTATTGGCTGTTCTCTCACACATCACTCTGTTCCGCTGACGGCTCTCTTAGCCGGTAAGATGCCATGGCCTGGCATGTGAACCTTCCTGATGAGGGGCTCATGAATTCATAGTTAGAGTTTATAATAACTTAACTCCGAACCCTGCTGGTTTTTGTTTGCTCCGGATAGCCTCACTGTGACAGTAACGCACTAACCAATCGGCTTGCACGGCAAATCCAAATACCCCTAGGCACTCGGACACAAGCACTAAGAAATTAAGTTTGCAGTCTTTCGACTCACCTGGAATCAAGCGGAAATGGAAAGCTCAGCAAAATAATTTTGGTATCCCTCCTGCCGCATCCGCTCATCTGATTTCGGCACTTTTGTCCAGAAATTCTAGGCTTCATTTGTGTCATGATATGATCGCAGGCTGATTAGATAGCATTGTACACCTATAAGCCCTGGTCCAAATGTCAATGTTGTGTCGAGTTTTGTGATCTCAGGTAGAGGCCGAGGCCATGACGAAGTACTGATTTCTATGTTGTTTCAAGCTCTAAGTTCTCTCGGCTGATTCAAGCTCTTAGCTATGAGCCTCCGCCACAAATAAGACATCTAGCTCACAACTTAGACATTATGCCTCAATATTTTCGTTAAATGAACGTGTTGCTGCTTTCTTGAGCGGAAGAAACATCACAGTCAGGGGCGAAACGACCAAGCTCATAGACTAATGCCTTCAAATATGGTCCATATAACACCCTTTGGAGCGGAAGTTGGCCGAGTTAAGCTCAGCACCTCTAGGCTCATAGAATTCATTGTTCCAGGCCCTGTGCATGGTTATTGGTGATACGATATGCAATTATGATGCAAACATAGAGTTTGTAGCACAAAATGACATGAGCCTTTCTTACGATACCTTTTCAGCAAAAGTTCCATTTTTGATAATCAAATCCTTTTCGTTAACCTCGATATTCTGTCTACAACCCAAAGCCTGCCTCACGACCACTACCCTTGGCCTCGTATATGCACAATTTGGTCTTGTCTGAACAGCCTGCCTTGCTGAAGGTTTAGGCGTGATGACGAGTATTCATATGTACGCCTTGACTGTATCTCGAAACAAACCTTACGCAGAGTTACGCAGCTTTATACTTCAACGGCTCAAAGCTCATGGTAGAGGAAGATATCTCCCGTGTGTACAGGTATAAATTCACCTATACTTCAGAGTGAAGTATCGCGGTCTCTTCTATACGTAACAATATTATACGCATAACGCTACTTCGTTCCTACTACTAGCTTATCTTCACATACCACCACCAGAATGGAGTCTACCAACCGATTTATGATTGGTGTTTTTGGTCCTACAGGTGCTGGCAAGACTAAATTAGGAGCCTCCGTAGCCAAGTCCGTCCATGGCCAAGTCATCTCGGTTGATAGTTTGCAGTGTTACTCCCCCGGGAGTATTATCACTGCCAAGCCTTCTCCTGAAGAAACGGATGGAATCGACCACCATATGATCGGATACTTGGAGGCTGATGAGGAGCCAACAAATTTTGTGGGCGAAGCAATCGAAAGATTGGAGAAACTCTGTGACCACGGGATTATACCTGTAGTTGTTGGAGGCTCAACATCGCTCACTTTACCTCTCCTGCAAGATGCTTTTAACCATGGATGGCGTATGGCTGCTATCACTCTGCTGCCACACCAGTCTACCTATCTCAGCAACATCGCATCCAGACTGGATGACATGGTAGAGGCAGGCCTTATGCAAGAGCTATCGGGTCTGAAATTCCTTGAAGACAAGTATCTGAACGGAAAACCCAGCTTTCAAAAGGGTATTTGGAAGGCAATCGGCTATCAGGAGTTGTACCCATATCTGGAGGCTCAAAGAATCGGCGGACAGTGCGATCAGCTGCTCAAGACTGGGCTGGCCTCGATGAAAGAAAACACCTTTCAATATGGCATGACGCAACTAGGATGGATTCGCCAAACACTCTGTTCATTCCTTCACGCCCAGAAAATTGCGAACATGAGCCTTACGGTTGTTGACAAGACATCTTGGGTCTCGGATGTTGAGAAACCTGCAATTCGAATGGCGAGTGATTTCTACCATGCTTCAGCTTCGATCAGTTTCCGTTTTATCAACGGACCAAAGCCTCGAATACTATGCATTTTGTACTAAACCCTTATCCCCATTGCTGGATCTAGAATAGCTAATGTTCATAGTGGTGGTTCGTCATCTGGTAACGAGCCGGCCCATATCGAAGCTGCTAGGTCACTTGGCAGAGTCTGTCACGAAAACAGCATGAAGCTTGTGTACGGAGGCGGCACAACTGGAATGATGGGTGCAATCGCAAGCACTCTCGTTGAGCTTTCTGGGCCTGATGCTGTTCATGGTATCATTCCCGAGGCACTGCTGAAATATGAAGCGAAGGAATCGGGAGGACGTCCCAAGGATTCTGCTTACGCCAGATACGGTAAGCGGACTGTTGTTCAGGATATGCATACTCGAAAGCGCTTGATGATTCAAGAGGTGATTGATGGGGGCGAGGGAAGTGGTTTCGTTGGGCTGAGTGGTGGCTATGGCACTCTTGAAGAGCTCTTTGAGGTCATAACTTGGCATCAGCTAGGTATCCATGACCGTGGCGTCTGTCTTCTCAATACGGGAGGGTTTTTCGACGGGCTTGTCGATTGGCTCGGCAACGTGGTCCAGAAAGGGTTCATTGGCCTAGAGGATGCTGCAATTCTTAACATTGCCAGTACAGCCGAAGGGGTTGTCAAGTGCTTGGATCACAAACCCAGCTTTTCTCGCAAAGGGGAACTAGATTGGGTCTAGGCTATGGTCGTGTAAAGTTCGATTGCTATCGCCAAAAAGCTTATACGATTTGGCGAAGTCATAGCGGACTTGGTTGTTTTGGGGTCCCTCTCAACTAGCTTTACTCGCCTGGGTAATTAACTTTCTTGAAACACGGGCCGGAGATAATGTTCCTACAGTTACGGTTGGTGTCCCTCAAACAATCTTGTCACTTCAATCCCGGATCCGTGGTTCCCGAGTAATGCAAACTTACAAGCATGTAACTACAAATGGCTCCTAGGAGAAGGCTCTGTAGGCAGAAAATAGTTTCTTTATCTTACTCAACAACATCATTGACTTAGGTGCCGATGGATATTTTACAAGTTCGCTTCGATCTGGCGTATTATTGCCTGTTTTTCGTAATTGGTGTTTTGACTCATCTCTTCATTTTCCGCCGAGGCGAATGGAACCTCTATGTTTTCAATATCTTGCAAGCCTTTGCTGTCCTCGAAAGCAGCTTGATATACATTGTTGCTCGAACCGTCGAAGATGAAGATTACACTTTATGGAAAGTCATCGCCATATCGTCTTGTTTCACACTATCAACCTTGATGGGATTGTCAATTAGTATGCTCATCTACCGCGGCTGTTTCCACCGATTGAGTAAATTTCCAGGCCCTTTTTGGGCCAGGCTGTCCAACCTGTATATTACGTTTCGGGCCTTCAAGAACTTTCGTCTTTTTGAAGAGGTGCAGCAGTTGCATAGAAAATATGGGGATATTGTTCGGATTGGTGAGTAATTGCTTTATGCCGATAACTCTTTCGCCACCCAACAAAAGCGATGGTGCTCACATATTACAGGGCCTAGCGAACTATCTATCATAGACCCGCACGCCTTGCAAGCTCTCCATTCAAACAGCTCCCCGTGTACTAAAGGCCCTTGGTACAGCATCGAACACCCTATCAAAGCTCTGCAGATGACCAGAGACAAGGAGGAGCATGCCTATCGGCGTAAGGCATGGGATTTGGCGTTCAGTTCTAAAGGTAAGTGTAGTATCAGTATCAGGCGAGGTCGGCTAACAGGTTGAGAAGCACTTCGGGAGTATGAAGCACGAGTGGCTGGGTACACCACCCAACTCTTTGAGCAGGTAGAAGCATCCCAGGGCACCCCGATCGACGCATCTCTATGGTTTAACTTTTATAGCTTTGATGTTATGGGTGACTTGGCCTTTGGGAGAACTCTTGATATGCTCAAGAACGGAACAGCACATCCATTTATGGAACTGGTCCATTCCAACATGCTTATGGCTGGTTCTCTGAGTCATTTGACCTGGGTCTTCCCACTTCTTAAACGCATTCCGTTCTTGAATCAGAAGAACCTCGAGTTCCAGGGATGGCTCAAGCAACAGGTCGACTGGAGACAGAAGGTATGCAAAAGCTAGATCCTTTGGGCACTTTATGTGATGCATTGACGTCTTGGATTACAGAATAAGCCGGATTTGCCGGATGTATTTTCATGGATCCTCTCCGACTACGACGCTCTCAACAAGCCGACTGCTCAGGATACTATCAACTTACGCGGTGATGCTCAGCTTATCGCTGTAGCGGGCAGGTACGGTGTCCTACGTAGCAAGTAGATGATGTCTTAACTAATCATTCTGTAGCGATACTACTGCGGCATCACTAACCTGTCTGTTCTTCGAGCTAGCTAGTAATCCGCAAATTTGCCTTACTCTCCAAAGAGAACTCGATCAGTATTACGCAGAACATGACAAACCAGACCATTCAAGTCTTTCAAAGCTCAGGTATCTGCAGGCTTGTATCAACGAATCAATGCGACTCTATCCGGCTATCCCGTCGGGCTTGCAGCGAATGACTCCGCCCAAGGGTCTAGATATCGGCGACACGCATCTTCCAGGCGATACTATAGTCACAATTCCAACTTACACGTTTAATCGAGGTAAGAGTGTCCAATTACAACACTTTGCATTCTAGAAAGAACTAACAGATGGTTTGTCTGCTTAGATGAAAAGCTCTTTACGCATGCCGACAAGTTTATTCCGGAACGCTGGACTACAGAAAAGGAGCTCACTAAAGATCCTTCTCTTTTTGTTCCATTCTCAATTGGTAATAATATCCCCAAGTCTAGATAAATGGTCCTAGCTAATACCTGCCTTGTGCTGTAGGACAATACTCTTGTGTTGGAAAGTAGTTGGGCCTGATGGAAATTCGTTTTGTAGCCAGTCAAATCCTGCACAAGTTCAATGTTGAACTGGCACACGAAGATGTCGCTAGAGACTTCGTTACTGGCCTAAGAGACGGCTTTACCTTGGCTATGTCGAGCCTCTACATAATCTTTACCCGAAGGACTACCTAGATATCCTTGTCAGCCAGCCGGCCTGAGGCAGAGTCGCTGTTTGATGGATGGCTTGCTATTATGATGAGAGTCCGAGTCCCTGGTTCACCGGAACGAACGGCACTTCTGATAGTGGGAGCCATTCTGGCCCTCCACTTCTGATACTTCAGGGGTGAGTCTAGCTTAAGAATAGGTAGCGTTTGTCAGTATAAGACTGTATTTACTATAACTCTCTCAACTAAACTGGGGGCTCTCCTCCACTGTGATTGGTACAGGTTGCAACGAATCACTTCCTCATAAGCTCAATCAATATCCGCGTTACCACCATGCTACGTGGCTACCGCGAAATCAGGATGGGACGGGCCGTACGGGAGGGCCAACAGATTGCATAGAGTTTCGAAATGTGAACAGGCATATACAATAAGCGATCCCTGAAAAGGAAGCGGTGACAGTTGGCTCCAAAGTAAGTTCGGACCAGCAGCAAAGCCTTGTAGATAAGAAAAACGATAGTAGTGGGCAGACCGGCAGAGGCTTTCTCGGCTCGGCAGTTGGAAGGCTGCGAATCCGAGCGGTATGGAATCATGTGTTGTATCAAAGCGCCGGAAGACCCGAGGGGCAAAGACGTATAAAGGAGTAGGGCATACTTGAAAGTTAAGTTCTCTCTGCTTTCATGAAGGACTAAGTGATACTTGGGAACAAAGATCTTCTTCACCTTCAAAAGAATACTCGATTTCTGTTTCGTCCCAACCCCGGAACCAGACTCGCGTCATGCATTTCGCTATACCTCCCGAATATCAATCAGAACTAGAGTCAACTCGACCGGTTGACCTTAGATCCGACGAAGAGATCCTTTCTTCTATAGAGCAGTACAGGCCTGTACCTTCGGAGAAGAACATCTGGGCTTTTTGGGATTCAGGTCTACGTGCTATTCCCTCCTGGTGCCAGCGAAATGTCATCGGTTGGGCTCGCATTTGCGGGCCTGATTGGACCATTCGAGTGCTTGACATGATACCCAATTCTCCCAATCACGTCCTGAAGTTTATTGACAGGGAGATGTTGCCTGAGGCGTTCCTGAGCGGAACAATGGATGGTCACCATGTCGGGCAACATTCTGCCGATTTCATCCGGGGTCCGCTTCTGCTCCGCTATGGAGGTGTGAGTATGGACGTTGGGTGCCTTCTTATCAGGCACATTGATCGCATTTGCTGGGATTTGCTTGCAGATTCAAAGTCGCCGTACGAGATCGCGGTGCCGCTTCTGTATGACCAGACGATCGCGAATCACTTCGTTGCCGCTCGGAAGAACAACGTCTTCATAGAGAAATGGTAAGTGTTAATGAAAACGCGATGGACCAGGGGCTAATAATCCATGGCTCAGGCACAAGCTGTATCTGCACTTGTGGAAGGGTCGAACGAACCAGCAAGGTCTCAGCGACAGTCCTCTGCTGGGATTCATCAAAGATATACGCTATGATGACGCCGCGGACTTTCACTGGGACTGGAGTGTGCCAGTCTCTCAATTTCTAGAGTACATTGCCCAGGTTTTGTGCTGGCAACGCTTGTGCTTAATCCGTGACACGGGCGACGGCTTCAAAAGTTCTGAATACTGGCAGCGTAACATTCTCTGCATCGATTCACTCAACGAGGTCTGGGGCGGCGAGAAGACCTTGGGCTTCGATAGCATTGGGCCTCGAATGTACAATCTCTTGACTGTTAGTCTTGATGCTGATCCGGATTCGGCAGCCTACAAGGATGCGTACAAGCTCGTATGGCGATTGTTGGCCAACTCAAGCTTTCAAAAGGTGACACGGGCGAAGAACCTGACGCACACACCACACCTCGGAACGTTGTGGGATCAGAACGAGGGACAGGATTGTGTGCCGGGATCATTTGGAGAGCTGCTACGGTACGGAGCGGTACACTTCCGCCAGAAGCGTGAGAACATCGAGCAGAAGGAGGCCCGTGAGACCAGAACTCTCATAGAGAAAGGTCTCTTGGATGCCTAGATAGATTTCAACCTCGCATCCTCAGAATCGTATGGTGTCGCGTCTGAACGTCTTTGCAATACCTTCCACATGCGAACTCGTGTAAATGTGATACGCGGATCTTCTACCCCGCTGATTACCACCCGTTGCGGCCCGTTCCTCATTTAGAAACACGCCCCGGGCCAACAGGAAACTCTAAAAACAAGCTTTATGTGTTCTACTCAAACTCAGCGCTTGCGGCTCAGGCCCGATGTCCGTGCGATACTTGTCCGTGCAATACTATTGCTAAGCTTCGGAGCCAACCTCGGCTCCCAACGCAACGCACAATGTTCGCTATCGTGAATACTTTTCATGTGTCTAATCTCCGATTATGTACGATAGGAACACCACCACACAGGCGTTGAATGTAAGCTTTTCGCCACGTCACGCACCACCAAGTTCTCTATGTATGTCGGTAGTTCTGGTAGACCAATCAAGGAGGGGGGAGGGTTAGGGACGTTGATTAACTCGTAAAACTCTACGGCTTCTCGGGAATGAATGCAGACATGCCGGGATGATACCAATGTCTTATAGCGGATATTGTAATTCTCGGCATCTGCGGCAGGCCACTGCTGTATACCTACTTTGTTGTTGTGTACGAAGCACGACTGCAATAGGAAACGGTATGTCTTGAGTGGCTGAGTTAGGCCTAGTCTCTGTGTGATAAGGGGGGGGCTCGGGATGGCCGGCAGCCTCGATACTACTTAAGGATAAGTAAAGGTAGATACGGATACGAAAGCTCACTTACAATTCATCATAAACCCTAGATAGCACACCAGGACCAGAAAATGATACTTGATTCAGCTCCTCCCACCCTTCTTGTCTTGATATCTCGTTCCTTGTGCATGGAGTCTTATTAGCTACCTGGGCTTTATCTGGGGCTACCACCCCGCACATTTCTCTTTCCAACAAGCATAGACGCGTCATCAAAGATCAACCATGACTGATACAGACGCCAGCATCATCAGAAGCTGTAGTGCATCGTGGGTGCATGTCCGATACTGGGCTACCTTATTGTGAGCTGACTGCAAACAGGGAATCCATATATACCGCCAGTCATGCGCTCGGGATCTACTTCCGCATCTCAAACATCGCCACCTTGACCATTCCGAGAGCGATATTCAAAAATGGCTCCGCGTTACACTTAATACGCACCGCCGTAGCCCAAGTCATGCTTAAGCAGCCGGCAATGCGCGTTGGCATTATTGGAGAAGACTCAAAACAGCCACGATTCGTTGCCTTGTCGTCTGTTGACTTTTCTCAACAGGTTGAAGACGAGGAAGCGCCATCTGTCGATTCCGTGGCTAAGAACCTAGAAAAGCTGTTGTTGCAGCCGTGGCCCGATCTTTCGAAGCGTCCAGGCTGGCATGTTCGGGTCTTCCATGAACCAAACTTGGGAGATAAGGACGTCTGCCGACTGCGGGTTTGCTTAACCGTCCATCACGCCATCTACGACGGGGAAAGCACTGCAAAGTTTCACATATCCTTGACTGATGCTCTCAACAATCCTGATCCCGCCGTGGCGCTGATGATGGACAAAAGTCTTATCGTAAACTTGACCGACCATCCCCGCGACTATCCTCGCCCACAGGAAGAGCTCATCAACTTCACTACAGACATCTCCTGGATAGTATCCGAACTCTGGAACATGTTTGCACCGTCATACCTCAAACCTTCTACATTTCAGAAGTGGGCGGGCCAGCCGTGCAACCCTGACATTCAAGCCGTCAACATTCGCTACCTTTCGCTGAGTTCCGTACTCACTCAAGCTGTAGTTAGAAGGTGTCGCGAGGAAAAGACCACAATGACCAACCTTCTCAATGCGCTTTGCGCTACCTCATTCGCGAGACGCGCGCCCCTGACCAAGCAACAGGGCTTTGTCAATCTCACAGCTATCAGCCTGCGACCGTGGATTTCTGAAAAAGTGCACTTCAACAAGACTTACATGTCTAAGTGCGCATCATCACACGCGCAGGAAATTGGGCCCGATGTCTTAGCCAAGATTCAACAGGATGGGGATGCTAACGTCTGGAAACTCGCGGTCGAGTTGCGACAGGACATGAAGAGAAGAATAGACACAATGCCCCATAACGAGTTCTCGTATCTTTTCCGTTATGTTGGCGATTGGCGTGATATATTCCAGGCGAGATACGGGAAGCCGAGGCGGGAACTATGGACGTTGAGCAACCTAGGTTCTATCGCCGTCCCGGTGTCCAAAGGCCCCTGGGAATTGGAGAGTATCTTGTTTGCCCAGTTTGCGCCGGTTGTTAGCGGTGCTCTTATGGTCAATGCTGCAAGCGTTGAGGGCGGAGATATGACCGTGTCACTTGTATGGCAAGATGGAATCCTAGAGACGGAACTCGTGCAAGGGGTGAGAGACGACTTGGAAACGTGGCTGCTTCGACTTGGGGAGGAGGGAAACTTAGGAATTTCGTAATGGGTGTAGTAGGTAGTCGCCGGGGAATGAGCTGAACTACGATCTGTTCTCTGGCTTAGATATGATGCAAAAGAGGAGCCAGCAGGAAGCCATTGACCTGCCACTCGAAAGTCTTGTTGGACGAATGCAGTTCTAGGCTAAAGGAAAGACCATCAGAATTCGTGGGATTACTATAGTGTTTGTACATGTTAGCGCTGACAAAAGGAACAACCAACTATAGGGATTCTATCAAGCTGTATCCTGAGGTGGATAAGACCACGGCCTGGCAAAGTGTTTCGACATTGAAACAGGCAAGTCTGCTAGCCAATGACCAGATACACGGTATCACCCTCGGTGATGACTGGCGACTTAAGCGCCTATGTGAGTTCGATAGCGTCGCAGCAAGAGAGCAAACTCACTCACATAGGCCTTGTGTCTCAGAACTTCCTTGTCTTCATTTCAGTCAAGGGAGATAGCTTTCTCGTGCTAGCTAGGAGTGCTTGCGCTTTTTATGCGGGAGGCCGACCAGCTGAAGAGGGGTTCACGCACCTCGCAACGTCGTATTTTCTCCCTCATTTTCGGTTACACAACCATTTCCCCTCTCACTCATCTCTCTTCTCTTCAAACCAATTCATACTACCATTCATCAAATTTCAAAATGACCTGAGACCCTGCGAAATGATGAAGATCCTCAATAGCATCACGCGCCGCATCCGCCGCCTGCCCTCTGCATTCTCATCCTCAGCCCTCCATCGCACGCATTACACCGGCTCCCTCCTCTTCAACCTCGCATCATTCATCCTCCCCGCGCTTTACGGCACTTTATCCAAACTATGGGTCGCAAACATCGACTCGTCAATGGTGGTGCTCACCGATGCGTATACGTACATGAACACTGCGTCTGAAGCAGTGAATGAAGGATTACCGAGGGCTGCGTGGGTCATCATTGGAGATAAGGCCTCGCGGTCGCTGGGTAAGCGTCTTCAATTAACGCATACTCTCATCGCGTTTCAGTCTGTCATCGGGTTGATACTGAGTATTGTATTTCTTGCTGGTGCGTCTTCTTTTGCGAATAGTTTTGTGCCTGAGGAAGTTCGCGATGTAAGTTTGACTTATGTGCGCATCGCTTCATTCACTGTGTTCAGCGGCACGCTCGAAACTGCAGTGGCGACAGCGACGAGAGCACTAGACAAACCTGATATTCCACTGGCCATCAGCACCGTCAAGTTTGCAGTCAACATCATCCTCGACTTTCTGCTCATTTCGAAGTTCCACGTCGGTTCTTTCACGCCGACTGTCAACATTCAAGGTACTATTCAGCTAGTCTGCAATCTTGTCGCAGCGTTCGCAGGGCTTGCTTACTTCCTCTGGTCGAATACATGGTCTTTCAAGAGACATACGCCGCATGATCCTCCAGAGAAGCTGCGTCCAAGCTTAGACGCGCTCAAAGTCCTTCTCCCGCCTGGCCTGATCTTCTTCACCGAATCGGCTGTCAGAAACGCCTTGTACCTCTGGCTGGTCAGTACCATCGTTGCATTAGGCGCAGTATATGCTACAGCTTGGGGCGTCTTCAACACCATCCGTTGGGGTCTGATAATGGTCCCAGTCCAGGCCTTGGAGGCAACTGCGCTGCAATTCATCGGTCATAACTGGGGCGATTGGAGAAGACGCGTCGATATCAGCACACGAAAGCCACAAGCATCATTGAAGGACCTCCATGGCATTGTACGTCCAGCTTTCAGATCGTTGTTTATCGCCCTCATTTTCGAAGTCCCGATAGCCATCTTCCTCACGCTCTTCGGAGCAAAGCCCTTTGCATCATATATCAGTGGTTCAGATGAAGTCGCAGAGGTGACGGCTTCAATGTGGCGAAGCCTGGACTGGTGTTATATCTTTTATGCAATGTCAACTCAACTCGCTACGATTCTTCTCGCAACCCGACCGAGGTGGTATTTGTATCAGAGTCTTGCAAGTAATCTTCTGTATGTGCTGCCTTGGGCGATCGCATGTCAGGTGGATGACTTGAACGACAGCAACGCGTGGTGGTATTACAAGTTTGTGTTTGGGGGTAGTCTTGTGTTCAGTTTTGGGACAATTATGGTTGTGGATTCGCTATGGGCTTGGACGTTGTATACTGGAAAGGCTGAGCTGGAGGAGTTCCGAGAGTGAATGCATTCCTGTGATTGAAGGTAATAAGTTCTTGTGAATTTAGGTTTTAATAGACTCCTTGATGGCACTGTCATAAGGTCTCTTATTTTACGTGGGTTCATACGGAGCTTTTCTCCATTTTCGCAGGATTCTGGAGAGTATTATGTGCTATGGTGCAATCAGTGTTACGCATCACCTCATCATGCAGATCCCACCACCACTTGCTATACCTCGTATTAATAATGACCTCCAACTCATTTGCTTATTACCGGCGATCATAACTAGTACTTCATCTCTTCTTCCTACATAACTTCCCATCGACTATCGATATCATGTCTTTTACAACAACAGTCACCGCGGCACCCCCGCCTGGTCAACCAGATATTGCTTACGCTCCAAACTATGAAAACTACCAAGCCAGGACAGCCAAGCGACTCAAAGAGGGGAACCTCCCGACCTCGGTCCCGGATGGCTTCCCAAAGCAATTGACAGGAGATCTTGTCTGGGAAGGCGATTCAGTTGGCCAACATTATGACTGGACTTATAAATTGTCTGAGGACCAGCTCGGCGAGCTTGACCAGGCTTTACACCATTTCAAAGGTATTTTGCTTGACAACTATATACCCCTCATCTAACACAACTAGGTCTTGGTCTTTCACTTGGACATATCTCGGCTGAAACATTTCCTCTACCAAATCTTCACTCAGAATTGCGGAGGCTATCTGATGAGCTACACAAAGGCCACGGTTTCTTTGTCATCCGCGGTGTCGACGTAGATAACTACACCCGCGAAGAAAACGCCATAATTTACGTCGGCATTTCTTCACACATCGCACCGCAGCGCGGCCGTCAGGACAGTAAATTCGGCGGTAAACCTGCTGACGTTGTACTCACGCATGTCAAGGATCTCAGCGCCGGTCAAGACAAGAGCGCTATTGGAAGTCCAGCTTATACTACTGACAGACAGGTCTTTCATACTGATTCAGGTGATATCGTGTCACTGTTCTGTCTAGAAACAGCGTTGGAGGGCGGTGCGAGTAGGATTGCGAGCACGTGGAGGGTTTATAATGAGTTGGCGAGGACGAGGCCTGATTTGATTCATACCCTGTCGCAGAATTGGGATGTTGAGAAGTAAGAGACCTCGATGCTGTATTACTGCTTCGACTAGCTAACACTTTCAGTTTTGCAAACCCGAATAAGAAGTTTACAAGTCGGCCACTTCTCTACCATCAAAAGGCCACCGATACGCTTCCTGAGAGAGTTGCTTTGCAGTACGCCCGTCGATACTTTGTCGGATTCGGTGCACTGCCAAGGAGCCATGACATCCCACCTATCACCGAAGCTCAGGCCGAAGCTCTAGATGCTCTTCACTTCTTGGGAGATAAACTGAGTGTTTCGACAAACTTTGCAAAAGGTGATATGCAATTCATAAACAACCTCGCTGTATTTCACGCTCGAGATGCATTCACCGACTCGCCAACGCAGCAGTAAGTCTGGTACTCCAGTTGTTGAATATGAGCTGATGATACAAGGCGCCATCTTCTTCGTCTCTGGCTGAGAGATCCTGAAAATGCTTGGGAGACTCCGGAGGCGCTACGTGAGAGGTGGGCAGAATTGTATGAGGGTGTGACTCCAGATGCGCAGGTGTTTCCGCTGAAACCCTATATTCGTAGTGCTAGCAACAGGGCCAGATAGAGTCTTGTGTAGGGAACTTGAGCGATAAAGATTTACTCGAGCATTGCTCGTAATCAGTCGTCTATTCGATGCCATCTCTTTGTTCAAACCTCTATTTTGTTCATGTTCGGAAACACGCACGGGTGACCACGCATGAGCACCAACATGTGAAACACCCGCTGGTCCTTGCACAAGCAGAACAGGTTACTGACTCTTTCCTCCGCCCATGGTGGTCGAGTTCTGCCTGCGATGAGTGGTACACGCCATTTTCTTGTGCTGGGAAGACAGCGTGCGATTGGCAGGGCGCCTTAACTCGGCCGCTCTTGATGCTCTCCTTAAGATCAAAGATCTTATCGACCAACTCCGCTTTCATGAAGCCGGGAGGCGTATGAAAAGAGCTTAAATAGACCGCTTACCTTTTTCATAAGTAAGATGTACATAGATTAGACAGACACGGCCAATCCCCATTGCCTGGGCCAAGACTAGACCGACGGTTCAAGCTTATCCGCGGCAGACGCCGCTCTCCGCAATTTCCCACTGCCTGTGATGACTCATCCTCTCAGCATGCACATGGCAATTCGATGAGCGTCTTTCTAACCCCGAAACCGACAGATTAGACTCGTGGTCCACCTATCAAGCGAAGATGGACGTTACTGATAGACTGCTTACATCACAAGAACGGCAGAGGCTGAAGGAGGAGCTGCTAGCAACGAATGATGATTTCATACGACAGATCCCAAAGGTCGAAATGCACATCCACATCGATGGAATGGTCACACCAGAGCTTCGATGGAAACTAGCCCAAAGAAATGGATTAGAAGTGCGCATGGGAAACGACAAGCCCGTCATAAAATCTCTCGATGACTTGAAGAAAGCCTACGCATCCGTCATCTCAACTTCGAGGCGCCACCAATATCAACATCTCGATCCGTCTCTGATTCCGCCTACGTTTTTCGAAGCTTACTACTCTAGCCATGATGTCCTCAGAACTCGACAAGACTTTTATGACGTCGCGATGGCGTATTTTCAAGGTGCTTCGGAGATGAATGTGCGATATTGTGAAGTGTTTTTTGACCCGCAGGCACATACGAGCCGTGGTGTTTCTTGGGAAGATATGATGGGAGGACTTCGTGATGCGCAAAATGAATCTGCAAGGACCCTAAATGTAAGACTCATATACTGAATTTGAGGTGCAGCTCTAAAGTGCTATATGCTAGGTCAAAGCTGCTTGGATTATGTGCTTCCTTCGCGATCAATCTCCAGAGTCCGCAATGGAACACTACAAAGCAGCGCTTCCATATCGAGACATGATTATCGGTATTGGACTCGATTCAAATGAACATAAACGGCCTCCTGTTCTATTCAAAGAAGTCTTTCAACGGGCTAAGAAAGATGGTTTCAGAATCACAGCACATTGCGACGTCGGTCAGCAAGACACGCATCAGAATATTCATCAGCTCATCTCACCCTCCGAGGGAATTCTCACACATCGCATCGACCACGGTCTAAACGCAGCAGACAAGCCAGAGCTTGTGGAACTTATCACGAGCCAAGGCATCGGCATGACGATCTGTCCCTGGGCTTATCTGCGGCGCTTCAATCTCGAGGAAACGGGCCGTCGTCTGCGGACGTTGATTGATGCAGGTGTCAAGATTTGCATTTCTAGCGATGGCCCTCCTCTCATGGAGGGCGCGTGGATGATGCATAACATACTGCTCACCAGACAGTTGTGTAGCTTGACCGAAGAGGATATTATACGGATGATGAAAGATGCGGTAGAGATTTCTTGGGCAGACCAAGACGTGAAGAAGGAAATCTTGGCAGAGCTTTGCGGGGATTCATATAAATCCAGGAATTAAAGATAGCCAGTACTGCTGTTAGCGTGGCGAGGAATTATCGCCGGTGGCAGAAGCAGTCACATTCCCGCAAGTTCACCATTTAAGCATTCAACAGACTACCCATAAAGGCTCTTAATAAAACATTTGACAATATATACTTTCCGATTACTGGTGAAAAGAATGTCACACTCAATGAGTCCAAGGATTAACAATTTTCCTTGCAAAGCTTGCTCTTGGCTACTCAGTCACTTCGAGTCAACGACGTAGCGTCACTCGAGCCGGACAGGCCGATGCCAAGAGAAGCCACTTCCCCAGACATCCGGCCAAAAAGCCAAAAGGCTAGCTTACGTCTGTGCCAACTGCCCCTGTGTCACCTCTTCCTGCCAATTCCGTTAGGTCTGGGATGATGACATAGTCGGTATGGTCTAGCTTGTCATCCATGGTTTAGGCCCAAGAACTCGGTTCTTCAGGGCACTCTTAGCTCCACATTGTGAGTACCGGCTGGAGATTGCCGAGAAGACCCTGAAGATGGCTTTTACAAAGGTCCTCGTGCATGAACCAACCTTGTGAGGATCCTGCTCGTTGACGGACCGACAAGTAGTCGAGGCCCCAGATGTCTAACCATGAGTAGACCGCAGACCCACGGCAAGACTCTCGATCGGATCCGAAACCGAGAAGAGAAGTCCACCTGCGTGGGTTGACAGCTGAGGAGTGGAGTTTAGATCGGAATGGTGAAAGTCAAATCTGCAAAACCAGGTCCCTTGCGGTAAAATGTTTCAAGACGTCGATTCGCCTGTTCTATGTTTACTAAACCCGCTCTCGAGTGAACTCCGAGTCCCTCGGTCCGGCTGACACGATGATTCTAACAATAACAAAATAAATCCTCTATCAATAACACCAAACAAAAGCACCGTATTCCAACTAATAGCCCAAAGGTTGTAGCCACCTTACGAGCTTATCTTAGTCCCATTTGCCTCCAAGAATCTGCACAGATCCCGGCAACTGTCAAGTAAAGTCTTTTGCGGCTTCCATCCCAGTTGAGCCATAGCTCTTCCAGGATCGGCGACACAAACTCCGACGTCACCTTGGCGGCGTCCCACTTTCAGCACCGGAATGTCTCTCCCTGAAGTAGTCTTCATAGCGTCAACGACTTCATACACTGTCTGACCAGTTCCAGTACCAATATTGAATGTCTGAAAACCTTGGCCGTCTTCCACGGCGAGGGCAGCAAGATGACCCCTGGCAAGATCAGAGACATGGATGAAGTCTCGGATAGCTGTGCCGTCTCGGGTATCCCAATCTGTACCGAATACCTGGAGTTGGTCTATCTCGCCGAGCATGACTTTGAGGAGGACAGGCATTAAGTTGGTTGGTGCAACGCAAGGATCTTCTCCCAAGCGGCCTGATTCATCACAGCCAATGGGGTTGAAATACCTTAAGGCTGTGATGGTCCAGTCTGGGTCTGCAATCGCTAAATCGGACAGAATAGCCTCGCAGATCCATTTTGTTCGTCCATATGGATTCGTGAGACCCGTGCATCCAGAAAGAGTAGTTTGGTTCTGGCCGCTAGCATCGCGCCACTCCGTCGTGGTATGAGCGCAAGACTCTTCAACTAGGCGTCCACCTGCATCTGCTAGGGAACCATACACTGTAGCTGATGACGAAAAGATGAGGTTTTTGATGTTAAACTTTGACAATGTGTTGCAGAATCTGATAAGTCCACCAACATTGTTGTCATAGTATTTGAGCGGCTTCTCAATACTTTCCGAGACAGACTTGTACGCAGCAAAGTGAATAACTCGTTTGATTTGTGATCCAGAAAGCAAAGAGTAACGAGACAGAATCTCCTGGATCTTAGCATCGTCTCTAAAGTCCGCCTCGTAGAAGTGAAGCTCTGGACGAAAAGGTCCGGCGTACTGGTCCGCCATGTCGTTCAACGTGTCAAGAACATTGATAAAGGCATTGCTGAGGTTATCAATGACAACCACGTTCTTTCCATCTTTTAGGAGCTCCCAAGTTGTGTGGCTCCCAATGTAGCCTAGACCACCAACGACGAGAACGTACTCAGATGCAGTTGAACGGAAAGGAGATGGAGGGCGACTGAATAGAAGGTCCTGTTCAGTTGCGGGAGTGCTTGGTCGAGAAAATGACTTCAGTGACTGAGCGGTGTCTGTGATTGGGGTCGTGGTGCCCGAGGATTGAAGAGAGTCCATGTTGAAATTTGAGAAGAGGAAGGATAGATATGATGAACAATGACTAATTTCAGAGATAGATCAACACGCACAGTATCTAGGGCTTAAGATAAATCTTGAGTTAACAGAGTGAACGGTCAGTTGGGTTATATACTCAGATCCTGAACGACGACTTTCGAACAGCAAGCTGAACACAGACCAACAAGAGCTCTCCCATCCGAAAAGCTAGCACAGAGAAATTTTCAATAGCCTCAGTGAGAAGTCATCGTAGCTGATACAAGATGAAGTCGTGACTTGAGAGTGGATGGTCTCCATCGTGGCCTCGAACAAAACGGAGGAGCTGAGCAAGTCTAAGAGTAAGACGGATATTAACCATCCGAGGTAGTGTTACTCCTGTGTTCTAGATCCTTTACGGTCTTGTTCCGAAGTGCACGTTCATCGCGGGATGTTTGACAGCTCTCCACTTTGTAGATTGTTGATGCAATGATCACTCAACGGGTCTTGGTCACTGCAAGCTACCGCAGCCAAAGAAATGCAAGACCATAAAATATGTTTTAAATATGATATATCTAAAAGCTCAACTGATAAAGATCACTCTACTGAAGACAGAGCAGATGCATATCGAGCAACAACGTCGCGCATCCTCCATATCAGAACCTCACCAAGACCCAACCACAATTCAAAGCCTTACTAATCCCCATCCCGTCGTTCCTAGATCTACCTCGGTATATTCGGAAGGTGGATATCTTTCACCAACGGCCATCCCGGGAAGGCTATAAGCGAGGTGGATTCACCATGTGGCATCAAGCTTAAACGGTGCAGACGTTGAAACTCTATCTTGCCCACTTTCTCGAACGAGATAATCTGATCTAGATTCGGTCCTTTTGGCATCTGGAGAGCTTAAGATATCCACGTTCAGCTGTATGCTCTCGGCTCATCCGTAAATGCAATTCTTATTGGGATTTCGCTGGGAGGATGAGGAATTTTCCAGCTCTCATTGATGAGATGAATTCTTTTTCTGCTTTATAGTAGATATATTTTCTGTAGCGGTATCTTCAAAATGGTTGAATTTCTCAGGTCAAGAGTTCGTTATGTTGTTCTCTTTCTTCCAGTCATTCTTTTCTTGCTCTTGTGGCTGCTAGTCCAGTATTGCTCTTTTCATAGCCCTCCTTGAGCGTACCTTTCCTTCCAGATGGCTGCCAAAAACAATAATCCCTTTTGGAGCACTCAAGATCCTTCATATGAGGACCTGACTCTCCCCTGCAATGCCAGACTGGATCCCTCAGCCCCAGACCTTCACCCAAATCAACCTCATCCAATTCTCCCCATCAGCCCTTCTGCACACTCTCTCAACAACCCTGTTGCAACTCCCCCATCAAGTCCCTCCATCAGCCCAATATCTACTCCGCCACCAGCCATATCCTCAGACAGAAGCGCCCGCAAAGTTGGCATTTATGGTTCTTCCTCTTCCTCCCTAAGCAGCTTATCCGATGAAAGTCTCACCAGCAATCTTCTTCGATCCCAATCTACCAAAAAGCCGTCACTATGGACTAGATTCTGGCGCTCGCTGAACAATCAGTTCTCCCCCAAGGCCTTCTGGGAACTCATCCATCCAAAAGAGTACATCTACCCCATGACGCTCAAGAAAGGCGCTGCACTTGCATTCGTCATGTCTTGCGTTGCTGCACTTGTTATATCGAATTGGTTTACCGGTTGGATGGGAAAGGCCATTGCTCAGACTCGAAGTTACATGTTACCTGTTCTCGTTATTGTTCTTACTCTTGAACCTCTTATGTTTCTTATAATCTTGTCTATTGCGAGAGTTCCGCCATACAACCCTCCCAAGACAACTCCTTCACAAGTTGCCGAGGGGTTTTTCAGTGAGAAAATTCCGGATGATCTGGAGCGTGGTTTGGCGGTGACGGAGGGTTGGGAAACTGCCTTTGTAATTCCCTGTCACAACTCAGATCGCGAAGCTTTGAGAAAGGTGATCGAATCCGCCTATCCCCATTTCAGACCTCAAGACATCTTCATCATCGATAACGGTCGATCTCGACATCCACAAGATCTCTCCTTCCGCCATTGGCTCAAGAATCTCCATCCCGATCTCGTCTACATCTGGTCCCCCATCGGTTCAAAGAACGCAGCCCAACTCGTCGGTTCCCTAGCAGCCATGGACTACAAGTACATCCTAACAACAGACGATGACGTCTCTCTCCCCGAAAACTACCGCCATCCCATTCATCTTCTGAACGACCACCTACGTGCTGTTGCTTTTCCTCTAGCAGGCACCGACGCAGATGGTAACACTCCCCTCGGTATGGTCTCTTGGCAAGACTGCGAGTACCGAATGGCTGGTCTTGTCAAGCTCGCTGAGGATCGTACATGCGGTGTTAACTTCCCCCATGGCGCTGGATGGTTCGTTGATCGCGATGTATTCGTTGAGCTCCTTTCGAAATATCATCCTATGGATTTTATCGCGGAAGATGCTAATGCTGGGTTTTCTATTATGCGTCTTGGGAAGGGTATTGCTTTTGATGCTCAGGTTACGCTTGCGACTGAAGTCCCGGCGACTGTGCTTGGTCCCGGGCTGAACTGGTGCAAGCAGAGGATCAAGTCATGGGAGATGGGAAGACATAGTCTGATCTGGAAGATAATGCGCCACCTGTTCCGCATGAACGGGCAACGGACTATCCAAGGAGTTCTTATGCAAAAGGGACTCTTTCTTTACATATTGGCCTGTCTAGTCATCGACTGGGTCCGCATTCCCGTCCTGGTCGCTCTAGGCGCGCATAAAGAATACTGGATCTTCTTCTTCAGTCTCGCCTTTGTCGCCTGTCTTCCTCCCCTTCTCTACAACTATCTTAGTTGCTGGCACCGTCCTGATATGCGCATTGGGCTTGTCACCATCGCTACTTATCCTGTTTACAAACAGCTGTATAGTTTTGTGTCAGTCTTTGGTGCTGTTCGTTGGGCGCTGTTTTATATCGGGGGACATGTTAGAGCGAAACCTATTCGGAAGATGCTCGAGGATGGAGATGAAGCATGTTTCTGGCTGGATCCCAGATTCGAGACGAATCCTGCTTGGTTGGCGGATGCGAAGGAAAAGATGCTAGCTGATGAATTGGCAATGAGAGTTGTCGGATCAACATAATAAGTAGCTGACTATCTACAGAATGAATTTCGCCGACTACAAGGCATCCCTGGCCAAAGTCTAGTGGTCGAACTTGGAACAATACATGGCCCATGCCGCGCAGCTAGTGATATATGAGATAGTATTCCGTCAAATGTTCCTTACGATCCAAATGATATCAATCGAGTCCACGCTGCTCCTCGTGGCCATCTGTCACATGATATAAGCCTCGCTTATACAAGGCTAGCAGTTTCACCATGTCTGAAGGTAAGCGATCGCAATCTCCACGCTTCCAATAACTTCCTCGTTCACCATCAATTATTCGGTTCTAAACTCAACATTTGCAATGCTTCGGTAGAGTTACACCAAGCATGTCACTGTGTTCAATATGGCGTTACGTCAAAGACACTGTCAGGCTTCCATCAGGCTTCCAAGTTGACATTTCCAACGTCTGTGCATGATGCAGCCAATTTCCGAACTGATCTGATCTTCCATGTCCGCCAAGAGCGGGAAGTGGTCCCGTTACATCATACCAATTTGCCTCTTCAGCTGCATCAACCGTCTACCATCACCAAAGTTACAAGCCTTGCTACTATTTCAAGCTCAACTCCTTCGATAACTCCCCAACGGAAGATATTCACAACGATTTCTTCCGCTTACGTAGTCTTTAACCTAAAAAAACTTGACTCTCATCCATTTCCAAGTTGCCTAGCAACTGGATCCTCCTCACCCTTGCACTTGATACGAGCCTTAGCTCATGCTGCTAAATTTGGAGTGGCGCTGCTGATAGGCCAAGACCCCCGGATTAACCCCTTAATGCGAGTTCTAGCGGGCCCTAGCCAGAGACAAAAACTGACCCGTCCCGTGCTAAGCCCATCCCTCAGGCGACGCGTAACTTTTCTGTTCCTACATCACCATCACCAACATTCGTTAATTCTTTTTTGACCTTCTTCAACCACAATCGCTATTCTTCCAAATTTTAATACAATACACTTTTTACACAAACACAAGCCGTCATCATGTCTTCCACAACCCTCAGCACTGCCAGCGCCGTCCCCACGGCCTGCACAAACCTCTATGACACCCCCAACCAGGACAACACCTGCGCCATGCCCTTCAAGGACAACCACACTGAGATCATGCAGAAGTGCTGCGGTGACGCCAAGATCGTGAGCTACTACAACGGCTGCGGCCTCTACTGCGTCGCCCTCGACCAGACCATCGGCGAGCTCGCAAAGTGCCTCTTCGCCAACGGCGCCCCCGACGCCGACGTCTTCTGCAGCGGCAGCAAGAAGACCACAAAGACAACCGACGCCGCCGTCCCCGCTACCGCCCAGGCCAGCGTCATCTCCGGCGACGACGACGACAAGGACGATGATGACAAGAGCTCTACTGGCACTGCTTCTGGTACCTCCACCAGCACCGGTACCAGCTCTTCCAGCTCCGAGACTTCTACGGAGAGCGGAAACGCCGCTGCTGGCTTCGCTCCCAAGTCTAGCATCAACACCCTTGGCCTTGCCATTGGTGCTCTGCTCTTCTCATCCATGGCTGCTGGTGCTTTCCAGCTGTAAGAGGCTAGCTACCATCGGATGTTTTTTTGCTTCGGTCATTCTATGTCGATAATTTGGAAACGGTTCGAGTAATGTTTGCGTGCATCTAGCATTTGGGCGGTGCGTAAAATATTGATGGATATCATAATTAGTTTCATGTGCTTTGGAAAATGGAAATGTATACTTTAATTAGCAGTCTATCTCTTGATATACAAATTGCTACCCCAGCTTGTTTACCCCGTTGTCGTGACTCGTGCAGCCTCCACTTGTAAGCGAGGGACGGACTCAGTTAATCGTGATCGATCAATGGAACGCAAGCATTGTAACGTCGTGCGACG